TTTGGACTATGAAGCTTTCATGATTTTTATAACCAAAATTCCCAACACAAGATTAAAAAGTAATAGGATAATAAAAATTCTTCACAAGTTATTGACAAATAGTTCAACCAAAACGAAATGTTGATCCTTGTTTAATAGTTGTAATGTAACAAGTCGCATGACTTTGGTTGAATATTTTATATATGGAAAAAACTATATCATTGACTCCTTCATTAATCCATTTTTGTAAGTAAATCATCTGTTCGAACACTTTAATCTACCAGTATTTTATCAAATTGATTATACTGCCATGAAAACAGGCAACGGTACAAAAATAGACAGATAATACGTTCAACCTGTGGTCATTATTCTATGCTCTAGAGCTAGAAGTTCTCAGTATTAGCTTTGATACGATCAAGAACATAAGTTACAGTTATTCAAACTCTAAATCACCTACGAAATATATAATGTTAATATGTGAAGAACAGTCTTGGTAATACTTATTTTTCTTTTAAGAAACAAACAATGTAATGATAAGAAGAAAAAAACCTTTAATTTGTTCCTTAAATTCTTTAATGAATAATTCTTGGCCAGTTTAACTTGATTAATTTTATTGTTTATGTTATTTAACTATGAATGAAACATATATCAGATCCAAAAGTAATTTCGAACTATTTAGTTATGCTAGCACAGCACTAGGTTGGAAGTAAGATGAAGGCAACCAGATCATCAAGACATGAAGTCATTGAATGTTGGTTTTAACCGTTACTGAGTGTGTTAAATTTCCGGTTTCAGTCCACGTGATGATTGTTGTCTAGCACTAAATATCTGAAATGGCGTGGCTGATGATTTGCTGCAGTACTGTAGGTTCACTTACTTTTCATCTTCCTTTAAAATTTGTGTCTTGGAATTATTTTACACTTTCCAGTCCTCAACTTTAATTGTTTCGTTCGAAGTGTGACGTTACTATATTCTATATACTATATACGAATCAGTTAATTTGTAAAAAATATAAGAAATAGGATAGAATATGTAATTTAGATACGATTGATTTGAATCTAGTTGTGACTTGTGGTTTCCATCATACTCTACTCTCATCCATTTATGTACATTTATGTTTATCATCAGACTATGATCATGTCAAGGTATTCTATATTCCAACCACTTAGTCAATCATCTTTCCTAAACAGTTCAGTTCGGATTGGCTTGAAATGAGGAATCTTTATTTAAAAGGTAGTATAACGTAAAGCATCTATTCGTGATCGTTTTACTTATATGACCAATGAACGCAGTAGTGAATGATTCGAGAGAAAACCCAAACATTTTAAATCGGAGTTAAGAAGTATCAGACTGATAATCGATGAACTACTTCATAGGTGTTGCCCTTTAGCCCATAAGTTCATAGGGCCTTCAGTTATTTCATCTATTTGATGATCATAGTCTAACACATTATATATGCATTAATAAATTTTCTCTTCATTTTATCTCTCAATTACAAGATAAAAGATATCAGAGATTGATTTCTTCTATTTGCTTGGATAAAATACTCTCTTCCTGTAAAATTCACTTTCCACGAAAATATTAAGAAGTTAGAGTGGTCAGTAATGGTAATCAATCATTTATCTGAAATGTCCTTCATTGATAATGTTTGGTATTTTTCATTTATGTTTATTATATTGAGAAGAAGCCTTCACATTAGTGCGACTTGAAACTTTTATTTGAAATACCTATCTCATTTGGCATCCGTTAATTGTGTTACTTTCAACCATTTAACGATTTCCAGTTCAACATTCTCCCGCTATTTCGATATCCTTACAAGATTTAACCAATAGTAATGTGATAGATATGCATATAGTTTGCATTTCGTTTTATAAAATGTGAGAACATTTAAACGTTGATAATTCACCGAAATATGCATCTAAATAAAACAGTACACATATTTTTCAGTCATAACAAGATAGAAGTCATGTTCATCTAATTACGAGTTCACAATTTTAATCAATATTATTGAGAGGTGACTAGACATCTATTGAAATGTGAATTTTGATTTATTGAGCAGTCAGACAAAGCATTATAGATAATTATAAACAAAAATACTATAGTTTTCTTCAACTTCCAATATCAGTTAAACTTATGTTTTAAATTTCAGCATCATAAGTAAGAGTGCTTAAAATAGGTAACTAGTTCTCAGTAACATAAAGCACTGATTAAAAAATATGTCTAGTTAGATTACTGATTACACCACATTATTGGAAAGACATTACATTAAAAAAAACTAAATGTATGTAAATTTTTCTATTCATAGTCAGTAATCATAACGTAGTAATCACCAGTTATCTATCTTAATAATAACGTAACCAAAATATCATGGATGTGTTGTAAATAGATGATCATAAACATTTGTTTACCACAGATTCAGTGTTAACAAACTTGTGCTACAAAACTTTTGTATGATATTCTAAAAATAGATATGGAATTAATTACAGCCATAAACTGGGTGTCCAACTCCGTTGTCCAGTAAACTACAAGCAAAAAGTAAAACTGATTTGTCATTCTGATCTGAAAGTTTAACATTATCTGAACATTAGTTCACTTAAAATTGAATCTTAGATTTCAGTCTACATAGCAAACATATTGTACACTTAAACTAATAGAGATAAGTGGGAAAATGGTAATTTTATAAACCCCTGAAAATATTTCTAGTTAGTAAAACTTCATGTTGTTTACTTCGGACATTATGTAATTATATGGCAAAAGAAAATATACTTGTTTACTAATGTTACATAGACAATTATGTAGAGGTAGATTACATGCTAAAGATTTTTAACTTCTAATTAACAAGTCATGAATTCAAGTCTAGATCAACGTACCAAACGTTTAATAAAATCCTATTATTAAGCATTACAAGATAATGCTGGATTAAAAATAGACTCATTTAAATGTTCAACAAATATGACTGTATAATTTGTAAAATGACACTACCTACAAGCTGTATAGTGTGACACTATATCCGAATGGACAATTTGAATCTTACACATTAGTGGTAAAAATTGAAAGCCAATGCGGCTTAACTCAACAGTTATAAAACATTTTCGCCTACTGACTAACATTTCAAAAAGTTAAGAGATAGTAACCCGGTTTAAATGATTAATCGTGGGGTTATGTGAGATTTTTAAGTTAGGTTAAAAGTTTAAAATAAGGATGTTAACTTAGTGGAGTAAGGATAACGCTCTTGCTTCGAAAAATGGGTTTGGTTCCAAGTAGTATTCCTGAGGAACTGTATACTAGTGCTCCGTGGTCTTCGATTATATCCAAGTTGATTTCAATCATTGATAAACGCCACCCACTTAAAGGACAACAGTTTAATTCGAATGTTAAAAGTATGAACCTAACGTAAGAAATTTTATTTGATTACTAGTTTATGTAAACAACTCGATCTAATTAAAGTAAAAAATAGTTAAATATTAGTAATTTTTCTTTAACATATATATAGATATATATCCAATCATCTAAAAACAAATGAACCACTCATCTATATAACTAACTCCATGTTGTAGGTTGTTAACTCAATTTACGTCATTACTATGAGAATTTGATTTAATGTTATTTTATACGTTCGTCACTTATTTGGTATTCATTTCCAATGAATTCAATAGTCTTTGAGAATGGAAATATTCTTTTTGCCGTAAATTATGACATAACTATCAACTAATCAATAGTTATATTTAACTTTTTGTATGTGACAATCCGAATGAGCATCTGTGATAATCGACTATATCATCAGTTAGCTAAGTATGTAAGGTATGAAACATTTGTTGCCAAATTGTGGCATATTGAACGCGAGATCTGATTGCATCGTAACTGAATTAATAATATTCTCAAATAAAAATTTTTTAAACTAGGACGTGTTAACTCTCTGCTGTTTCGTCATATCTTTCACATAAACAGAAGTAGTTCTTCAGTTTTGATCAAAAATACCTTCAGATTGATCAATAATAATAATAATATTTGTTGACTACCAGTTACAAACATTACAATTTTCATGAATCACTTTTCTATCCTAACTTATTCATTTCATTATTTTTTTGTATAATTTATGAAAGACATCAATTATTCACTTTGGTGGAAGGAAAATCTAAACTATAGGGGAAAGTTTATGTTGTAATATGTAATTATTCCGAACAAAACTTTTAGGAAGAGTAGGGAAGTGGGCAGATATCAATATTTGACCAGTCATATATATTAGTAATTGTTTATCTATACATTAAATGTTTAATTAGATAAGACTACTTCAGGGAATCAGATCGTTAATCCAATGGATACTTCCTGTATTTCAATTTTCTCAAATTATTGGTTGCGAACACTAGGCTCTACTCTAGATACGTGATGAAGTTAGACGGTGTGAGTCAAACCTTAATTTCCGTTTCCATTCAACTTTCATCATCATGTCTATAAAAATAAATCAATTTTCTAACGAAGAGAAGCACATTTATTAAAATCTATATTTACTAACTATCTTTAACCGTTATATCATGCTTAAGTTTCCCATAGGATCTCAATATTACAGTTCTATAGAGAATTAGGATGGAAATATCATTGCAGAATTTAATTTGATGGTTTAAAAAACAAATTATCCCTTTTGAAGACTCATATATCTAGGTTTGAATTCAAGATGTGTATATCTGAAAAATCCTCTTGAGGAACTTAATAAGTTTGTACCACTCACTAATTTATAATACATATTTGAATATTATCAGAATGGGTTTTGTGGAGATTTTTTTAGGAAATTCACAGGTTGAAATCATGAGTCAATTGAAGCTAGACCACCATGGAGGATTCCCATACTAGAACGAAACGGCCGTCCAGTGCTTCCAAGTTTTCCATGGTGGTCTAGCTTCAATTGACTCATGATTTCAACCTGTGAAATATTTGAATATTATCAGTTTATGATAAAAATCTGAACTCGTACATTCAAATGTTTGATTATCATAATTCTGAATATTACACAATAAAAAACTCACTTTGTTAATACGATAGGAAATTTTCAAACACTTGGTTTTATCGATTTTAAAATGAATTCCAATATTTGAATTATACACAAAATGTTTGTCTTTGTTTTCTTGCACAGTTTGTAACGTGATAAACGTAAGACGTCCCAATCTGTCTCTATAAATATGATTTAAATTGTCAGTCCCCTGATTTATGATAGACGGAAGTGCCAAATAATCCACTTTACTCTATCGACAGATGGGTGTGCTGTCTGTCTGTTAGTCTATGTTACAGCTAGCTTCAACCTGATTTAGGCAGCACAACCCATTCGTTAATGGGTACTGTATATTTGTGAGCCAGTGCACGGGTTAGAGGAGCAAGCTTTGAGAGTGAAAAAATCAGTCACTGTATCCATTATTCTCAGTTTGTGTGTAGGTGTGCAATCACTGTTATTTACAATTTAGTTGTTGGCCTTATGGAATTGTGCCTTTATTGTGCTCCTGCCTTCATAGCACTGGTGACCATACGCTCACACACACCCAAAAATTTTCTACACCCTTACAAAGTACTCACCCACTCAAACTCACCATCACCCTTACTCCCGTTCTGCCATTCTCCTGAATCGGGATGCTACCACCCTTATTATCATTTCTAAAGAACACACAGCAACCCATTCATGTGAGTTATAATACATGGATCGATAGGACCAAGGCAGAGCTAAACCCAGACTTTAGACAGCTCAAAAAATGGAATGTGAATTCAATGGGAGACAGCTAGAAAGTTTATGCATGTTTCATCTGCGTTCACCCACGTCCAGAGTTCTAAATAAGTTTCTAGAGCAGAGGGGGGTGGTAATCAATGAGTATGAAGCCAATAACCTGATTATCATGTGGCCGAGGTCACGTCTGTGAAAAATAATGGACCACAGCAACTAAATCCACAGGAGATACAAGCACAGACTAGTATCATTTCCTTTTCAACTTTACTATTTCAAATTGATTAGTGCACTATACACAAACGCACATATTTAACTACATATGCGGGTGATCTCTGGGCTTGTGGGTAAAATGAGGGTTGATATAGATATAGTGATAGACATATTTATGCACACTTAAAAGTGGAATTTGTGTACAGATGTTATGTGTATAGATACACCTATGTGGGTGTATGTACATAAGTTTGCAATGTATTGTGAATCAGTGAACAGAGATACAAAGAATGTCACTAGAATTGATTGGAAATACGTTTTTCAAATTTGTTCTCCAATTCTGGTTGGAATTAAAATCGATCAATTAATTAGCCAACTAAATGATACTTTTCATATCACTAATTAAAGTTTCCATTTTTAAAGTAATTATTGCTAAAATCCGTTTTCATGATTTAAAAACTGGTTATAAGTGTGTTAGACATATTAAATCATAACATATTTATTGATTTGACAAAACTGTGGTGAAGATGATTCAAATACAATAAAGTTAATTATGAGATAACTAGTAAACTGTACTGAGTAATTACAATTAGATTAAGTTGCGGTAAAGATTAATATGATTAATATATATTATAAGATATGATCTACAAATGAAAAACAGTCGATAAGGATAGGGTTATGGATAGCTGTTCCGTTTCTTGATGGAGTAATATAGAAAACAAGAATTTCAGATCATGTGAATAGTAGATAGTTATTTTTTTAAAGTTTGAATTAGTAATTTTTATTGAGGACTAATGAAAATCAGGTAGTACTGAACAACAATGCTCACCTACTGCTCTAAACGAGAACTAACCTAGGACCTTAATTCTTTATTATGATTCTTATCGACCACTTGGTATGAATCCATTGGTGGATATTTCAAACCTCAATTAATTGATAAAGAGCCACCATCATCTATTACATTAAAACCTATCTCACTCCGAACATGGGTGGATCTCAGTGGTCGCAGATTCTCAAAAGAACTCCCGGAATTCCTCTCTAGTCTAGACTTTAGTGAATAGACATTTTTTATTGAGATTTGTGGTTTATGCAGAACTTTCGATTTATTCGTTTAGTTGGTTCCAATCTTGCCAAACACTATCAAAGTTCTGAACACCACTCTTGATAATTAATCACTTGAGTAAACCATCTCTTTAAAAACTAGACGTATGAAATATGATCTTCAAAATGACTTCTTAAGATTGTAAGGAAGCAATATATGAAATGTTGACTACTTGAGAAGTGCCTCCAAATGCCCCGGTACGGCCGAAGGTGGGGAGAGTCAGCTCACCCTTTCAAAATGCTCTCATGTGGCCACACGTATACAGCCACTGCCACGGAAGTCCTACCCACTGCCTTCTCTAGGTGGGGGTGTTATTTAAGAAATTGAGAGGACGGAAAGCGAATGTCCGGCGCTTCAACCAAGTTGGTGGGTACGGAGCATCCACTTAGAGGAGTCGTAAGACCCTGATTCTAAACCAATGATACACATGGGCTCCAATATCCTGAGGGAACAAATGGCGTATGAACCAGTCGTTGCTTACCGGCTACCATGGGAGTGCATCTCCTAACGTTGCTCCACTGCCTTGTGGACCAGACCTTTAGGTCGAAGGCTCTGGGTGTGGCTTCGGTTTGGGCACCCGGGTGGTATCATAGCCCACACACAAATCAAGTGACTTGTGTGGCGTATATGTATTCGGTGCCCCTTCGTATCAATATTTAGGTATTCAAATAAATAAATAAAATAAATACTTGTGAATTGAATCTTTATATCGCGGTGTGCCTTTGAACATCCAACGAAATTAAATGCTGGCATCTGTCACTTTAAACAATCATTCCATTACGCGATCAATCTGTTGTGTTGAATTGTTCACCTTTCGTTCAAAGGCTGTACAAAGTTATTAGGATTTAAGACCTCTTATTGTTAATTTCTATGACTAAATTATTAAATTCATGCTGGTGTACGGTCTTTTAATAAGAGTATATATAGAGCGAGAGAGCCTGTGACTGTATCATGATGGGAACATTTTTAGTGGAGCTCGAAGCACCAATCTAATTTTATTTTAAACTTATTAGATGGCTTACATACATTCAAGTAAGTGTTAGTGTTATGATGAAATTACTTCACTTTCGCCTTTGCATGATCCTACTGTCATAATCAGCAGAAAAATTGGTCTTCCTTGAATGACAAGTGCTGACCGTAAATCACGAAACTTCCTATTCACCTTCTCCATTTCTTGTCAATGTTTATTTTCTGACATGTTGTCAGGATTTGGATGGTTTTAGGTCACGATGCGACTTATTACTCATCAGATATTGACCATAATCTTTGGATTAAGAAATCATTTTGTTTAGTCGTTGGGCTTATTGTTTCCGATTGTTGTAGGGAATTCACTTTCATCGTTTGTTATAATCCAGTTAAGAAGAGAATTAACCTGTTGTGTAAAATAAAATATACTTCATACCCCATACTGTGATCAAAATTACTAATGAATGAAAACAATGGATATAAAATAAAGTGATTATTGCCAATTTCATCGTTCACAGTATACTGCACGACAATAATTAAAAATATAAGTTTCTTTAAAATCTCAAGTTAAACAGAAAGTGATTAGAACAAAAATGAATCTGACGTCAGTATTATATTTTAAGCTTCTGAAAAGTCTAAAATAAACTGTGTGCAGAGAATGTAGAACAATTTATATTTGATAAGTTTAGGATGGAGTAAAACATTGACCAACAGAGCATAACATTTCTCATTTTAAGATGATCTGTAAATGTGAACTGTTTGCAATATGATGTCGTATCTAATCAGTAACTAGATATTGGGAACACCATGAAAATCTTGTATATTACCCACTCTTTTTACGATTAAACAAAAGGTATATATGTATATTACTTACCTACTTATGCTTGTTACTCCTTGTGAAGGAGCATAGGCCGCTCATCAGCATTCTCCATCCAACCATGTACTGGGCAATCCCTTCCAGCTCCTTCCAGTCATTATTCATCCTTTTCATATCTGCTTCTATTTCGCCACATAATGTGTTCTTTGGCCTTCCCTTCAGGATTCCAAGTTAGCAACTGTCTCGTGATACAGTTTGATGATTTCTTCAAGGTATATCCTATCCATTTTCATTGTGTTTTTTTGATTTCTTCTTCAGCTGGAAGCTGGTTTGTTTTCTCCCACAAAAGGCCGTTATTGACGGTATCCGGCCAATGGATGTTGAGTATCTTGTGTAGACAGCTATTTATTATTACTTGTACTTTCTTGATTGTGGTCGTCGTAGTTCTCCAAGTTTCAGCTCCGTACAGTAGAACTGCCTTGACGTTGGTATTGAAGATTCTCACTTTGATATTGGTTGAAAGTTGTTTTGAATTCCATATGTTCTTCAATTGTAGGAATGCTGTACTTGCTTTGCCGATCATCGCCTTTACATCTGCATCTGAACCTCCTTGTTCATCGATGACGCTTCCCAGGTATGTGAAGGACTCTACATCTTCCAGAGTTTCGCCATCAAGAGTGATTGGATTGCTATTTTCCGCTTTGAATTTGAGGACCTTCGTTTTTCCTTTGTGTATGCTGAGGCCTACTGATGCAGAGACTGCTGCTACACTGGCTGTCTTCATCTGCATTTGTTCGTGTGTACGTGATAGGAGGGCTAGGACATCTGCGAAGTCCAGATCGTCTAATTGATCTTGAGCTGTCCATTGTATGCCGTGTTTTCCCTCAGATATCGAGGTCTTCATAATCCAGTCGACCACCAGAAGAAAGAGGAAGGGAGAGAGTAAACAGCCTTGTCTGACTCCGGTCCTTACTTGGAATGCATCTGTCAGCTGTCCTCCATGCACGACCTTGCACTGTAGTCCGTCGTATGAGTTCCGGATAATATTGACAATCTTCTCAGGAACTCCGTAGTGTCGAAGAAGTTTCCATAACGTCCTCCTATCTACACTGTCGAATGCCTTTTCATAATCAATGAAGTTGATGTATAGTGATGAGTTCCACTCAACTGATTGTTTGACGATGATCCGTAGTGTTGCGATTTGATCTGTGCACGGTCGATCCATACGGGATCCAGCTTGTTGATCTGGAAGTCGGGTGTCTACTGCGTCTTTTATCCGGTTCAGCAACACTCTGTTGAAGACTTTCCCTGGTATTGACAGTAGTGTAATGCCTCTGTAGTTTTCACATTTGCTCAGATCTCCTTTCTTTGGAATCTTGATGAGGTGTTCTTCTTTCCAGTCCATCGGCACTTGTTCCTCCTCGCAAATCTTTTTGAATAGAAGGTGAAGCATATTTGTAGTTACTTCGATGTCTGATTTCAGTGCTTCAGCTGGTATGTTGTCGGGTCCTGCTGCTTTCCCGTTCTTGATTTGTCTGATAGCCATTCAGATTTCTTCCTTCGTTGGTGGATTGACATCTATAGGAAGATCTGTGTGTGCTGCTTCGATGTTCGGTGGATTCATTGGAGCCGGCCTATTCAGGAGTTCCTCGAAGTATTCTACCCATCTGTTTCGCTGTTGTTGAACTTCGGTGATTGGCTTGCCTTCTTTGTCCTTGACCGGTCTCTCTGGTTTACTGTATTTCCCTGCTAGTTTCTTCGTTGTATCGTAAAGCTGTTTCATATTTCCTTCTCTAGCAGCTTTTTCTGCCGTCGTTGCTAGTTCTTCCACGTATTTATGCTTGTCGGTTCTAATGCTTTTCTTCACTTGTTTGTTTGCTTCTATGTATTCAGCTTGTGCTTGGACTTTCTCTGCTCGTGTCCGGTTGTTGTTTATTGCTGTCTTCTTGTTCTTTCTTTCTTTGATCCTATCCAGTGTTTCTATAGAGATCCATTCCTTATGATGATGCTTCTTTAGGCTCAGAACCTCTTGACGCGTTGAAGTTAATACTTCTTTGATACCTTTCCAGTTGTCCTCCATAGTGGTTTCTTCTTCCTTCAGTAGATCCTGTAAGGCTTGGAACGTATTATTGAGAGCTATTTTGAATACATTGAGTTTGTCAGCATCTCGAAGGAAGGCTGTATAGAACCTTTGTAGTGCTGTTTGTCCAGTTGTCTAGTTCTTCTTTAGCTTCAGTTATATATATAAATATGTTTACATGTGCTAACAAACTTCTTTCTTCGATTTGTCCCTCTAAAATCTGAATTTAATGTATTAATCAAATGGAGAATTAATTAATCCAGTGTTTGTATAAATCACATTGTATCTATTCTTAAATAAGATTAGGTATTGTTTTTAATGAAGCCAATTAAATCTCATTACCCCTTCAGAGATAATATGACATCATCCTTCTCAATTATCCGTAGCAAGTAGCCTATTAAAATTGTATTCTTTCATTCTTCGTATCTGTGACAGAAAAAATGAATCAATAAATACATCGAGTTATAAGGATTTTCATATAAACCAAAATAAAATTTTCGATGTGATATTAAAGTTAGTTATCCTACTCGAAGAAAATCTTATATCCTACACTTCTCAGCTTCAATTAACTAGTGATAAATATTATAACTATCCATATTATTATTCACAGTCTTTTATTAGTAATTTCAATCTACGTAACCTATCAAGTTATGGTTCTTTATCAGGACCCTTAATACATCTAGTAGGCTTGATATAATTTTCCAACTCACTTGAAATATCAACAGTTGTTGGGAAGCCAGATACCGGAATTGGTAAGGTGAACAGATCGCGTGAAATATTACTTTGGTTCAAAATCAGTGAACACCCATCTATTGTCTGAGTCATTCTCACTGCCATTACACGCAAGCAAGGAACAGAACCGCCTCTATACAATTTACTTGGTCAAATATTAGGAGTCAACATCATTGTCTAAATTGAGTCATTATTTATTTTACTCATCCTATCTGAACATTTGATAATTACTATTGAATATTATTAATGGTAATATAAATTGCAGATTTTCATTTCCTTGGACGCTTGTAGTTCTTAAAGTTCACAATATACACCAAAAGACTATACATTTTTGCGTTTTCGTTTGCTTTCAATTTCTAAGAGTATTTCTAATATAAATTCAAACAAAAGATTGTGTAAGTCTGTTTGTCATTTAAATTTCATAGCTAAACAGAAAAGGTGTTAAGCTAATATTCTTTTAGCTTTAATGTTCATTTCCATAGATTCTGACATGAATATATATTTGACTGATTTAGCAATAAATTCATTTTTCACCTAGACTCACTCATGATGTTTATGATGAAATGGATTACTAAATTTCTATAATTGTACTATGTATCTTCCTTGTGTTGATGATAGATATAAACCATTATGTTTATCACTGATTGAAATCATGAGTCAATTGAAGCTAGACCACCATGGAAAACCTGGAAGCACTGGACGGCCGTTGGATGCCGGCTTAGTGGTGTAGTTGGTTAGGCGCCTGGCGCGAGACTGATAGGTCCTGGGTTGGAATCTCACGGGGTGCGGGTTCGTGGATGCGCACTGCTGAGGGGTCCCATATTAGGACGAAAAATCTGTCCAGTGCTTTCAGATTATCCATGGTGGTCTAGCTTCAATCGACTCATGATTTCAATCAGTGAAATTTCTAAAATCTCCACAAAACCCCTTCTGATATTATATATATATATATATAATATTGAGTTCTTTAGAAAGTTTCTGTAGCGTAATGAAGAGGCGAAGTTGATATGAAAAATGTATCGTATTTTCTCGGTACATTTCGATAATCTCATGATATCTTTCTTTTTCTTACATTTGCTACTATCAGTGTATATTTAATCAATCTTTCATAGGTTTTTATATAGCCTTCATTGACAAGTAGACGTGTGATTAGATTGCCTGAAATATTTTTTTTCGAAATCATTGTATTTATGAGTTCAAACGAATCTTCTGATTCGATTATCGGAAGATATCTTCTAAAAGAATAGTTTCAATTAATTTATAACTTAATGCACAACATAGAATATAATCTTGTGTCATATAGTATAAATAATAACAGAAAAACAAACGTTAGTTGAGGTTTAACAGAAATATCTAAAATGTCTGGATGGTCACCGAAACTGTTTTCTCACCATAACCCATAGTCTGATAATTTTTGTGACAGCCAAAGCTTATTCTCTCTTCATTTACCAATTAATTGCTACTTCTTTTTTAAACTATCGTTAGTTAGGTATAATAATTAATAATAATATTGCTTATAATAGTGCAAAATGTAATTCATAGAACAAAATATATAACCAGCTAAATTAATTAAGGCTGAACTATTTGTTTATAGATGTGATATTTTATTAATTAAAAATTAATTAATTGCCATTTCCATCTTATCAAAATCATTTCTTTCCATTGAAAGAGAATATTATATAGTTACATGAAAGTATTTTTTACCATTTGGAGGTAATTGTTTTTGAAGAACTGGCTGTAGCT